TCATCTAGTGCATCGTCAACATTAGAATAAACAGTAATTTCATGCCAGGGTACATTTTCCATATCTGACTTAAACTGGTTTTCATCAAAGTGTTTATATGTTCTACTAATTCTAAATTTATGATTATGTTTAATTTTTTCTTCTTTCCCAATTATTGCATATATAATGGAATGATCGCTCATTCCCGTATGCAGAACACCAGAAGTTGATATTTTTTCAGGAAATGAAGAATAAATGTGATCAATGATAGTTCTGCTATTTTTAGTTATTCTTGTCGGTTCTGAAATTAACTGTTTTAAATGGAAATTTTTAGCAATTTCATTAATTCTTTGAGTGTAACATGTTGGATTGGCTGATAGTATATCACAATTCATATCACAATTCATTATAATTTCTCTGTTTCCACATTCAATATTTTCAAGCACATGTTCGACATATTCAAATAATTTGAGTTCTGAATTTGGAGGGCGGTACCAGGCTATAATCAAAATGGGCTTATTTTTGGGTTTTTTAATTTCAAGTATAATCATTTCTAGTTCATTGTGCATTAGGTCATATCTAACAGAGTGAGTAAAACCCCCATTAATATTTACATAAAAGGCAACTCCCCCTCCCTCTCTGTTTCTATCTTTTCTGTAAATATCATATCCATTAATGTTTAGAATATTATCCGTGATTGAATTATTTAGGCGGGTTTCATTCAAAGCAACTATATATATTGTATTGTTTAAAAGAAGATGTTTAAGTTCATCAAATTTACCCGAAGTGTCACAATATTAAGTCCAATTATACTTAACCATTTGTTCATAAAAATCTTATGGTTTTCTGAAAAAATGTTAGAAGTACTTAGTGAAGTTTTGGATAGCTCATCATTTTTTCCGTTGATATTTGTTGAGTGTTTGTCCTTAGTATTTAAAGTGTCCAGAGTAAATAACATTTCCAGGTGGAAGGATTCCTCATTATCGTTAAATTTCAATTTGGCATCAGCTTCCTCGCCTTCTTTTCATTGTTGTATCTCGCAGAATTTAGACTTGTGTCCCACTGAATTGCATGACCAGCAAGTTACAGGCTGAACATGGTGACATACACGACGGGTATGACCACTTTCTGCACAAAAGTAGCAGTAAGTCGATGATGATTCTTGAAGGTTGTTTCTTTTGGGCCTTATGATTTGAATTTTTGAGTTAAGGCTTTTGATTAGAGCAAAGGTTCCATAATTGTTGAGATGAAGGCCATGATATACAAATTTGGAAGCATCCAGACCATATCTGCATAAGAAAGCTTTGGAGTTGTCAATGAAGTCATCTTTGTATCTTGACTTGAGCTCTTCATTTGTTTCCAGTACACGCACATTGATATGAGGGTCATCAAGATGGGGACAGATTCCAGACAAAAACACCTTTCCTGATATTCTGGGTTTTAAGCTTGAAACAAGTTCATTGTAATCCTTCATTAGTTCCTCTTTGTTGTAATTTAAGTTGCTGCAGTCATTTGTTCCGGCATGTACAATCACATTTTTTACTTGGCTCAAATCTAGTTCTTTCAGTGCTGATGATACTTGTTGCACTGTGTATCCCCGCAGTGTTTTCACAGATGCATTTCATAGTCCTCGTGTCTTTATATGTTTTAACATTGAATCACCTATGATCAGAGTTTCTTTGTTGAATACTTGATGTGGGATTACAGTAGGATGAAACTCAGGTTGTACATTTGCATAGCTAGTGTTTAAGTTTTGGACAGCTGTGTTAACCTGCGGTTGGTCCTCATTGATGGTAAGGTCGTTGTTTTCCTCAATTTCAAGAGCTTCAAAATGATTATATGTGCTTATATTTGGTACATCTCTCAAAGGAGTAGATTCTTGAGTTATTTCAGTAGAGTTTATTTGAGGGTTAAATGAAATTGCACTTCCTTGTAGTTTTGAAACAAGCGTGTTTATAATAGATTCAAGATTTGAGATTCTGTCCTCAAGTGAACAAGTCATTGTCTGGGTTGCAGTAGTTTTAAATGTAGGCTTTGTTTCATATGGAAACGTTTTTGTCACTTTTTATCATTTGCTAGTCCAGCTATTCCGAAAGCAGCGAACTGAGGTCAAATCAACCCCGCTGTACAAGCAGTTTGGATCGACCAATTAAAAACATTGGGTTTGTTTCATTTTCATTATCGGGTTAAATACTAAAAAAAAACTCAATTTGCACAGTCAATATTCTTATGTTAAAACTTGTATTTGAACACATATTTAACAGTACACATAGAACAATGTAAAGTGAACAAATTCTGAGATCTCCCTTCCCCTAGTCCACACTTTCGTGTTGGCAGGATTGGCTTAGCCTACGGTACACCCCTACGGAAATTTTCAAACGGTCCAGACTATAAATTGCATTTTTTGCAGAAATATAGCCTAATTTGTTTTTTAATAAAGGTAATAAAAGCACACAAAAAATCCAACTGATAACTAAATTAGGCTAAATTACACGAAGAAAGAAGTAAAAAACTGCGAACACAAGTCAAGCAAACAGAAGTATGACGTCTATCAGTGAATCGGACTATCACGCTTGAGAGATTTTTTGACCCCATGAGAGGCAATCGTGGATTGGATGGATTTTATATTTTCTTATTTTCCGATAAAACTACCCAACCAATCATACTAAGTTTTATATCAGCTTCAAGCTTATCTTTTGTGAAAAAAATCCAGTTTTCTCCAATGGTTAAGGCGACCTTGGAGAGCAAATGATACAACGTTTCCATATGTATTTGTTGAGTTTGGTTGACAGATTCATCGTTTCTGGTGTAATTTCTATGATACTCTAATACCTGTAAGTTATAATTTCTTATGCAGATATTGATTTCATCATCAGAAAAGCCATAGAAACTGTTCATACAAGAGCTATTGGTGCTAATTCCTTGGTTAGATCCTAGGCCAATTTTAAAATTCACCATGGTGGTAATCAATTTGGCTTGGTAAAGCAGTCACTCCCTGTTTACTATTCAGCTATTAT